AGAGAAGCCTACTTCTCACCATATTCAAAACCATCATCTGGGTATGCTCATTGATGAAAATTCTATGATTTCTTTCTCCCCATATAACATAAACAGTGACAACAAGACATAGTTTCGTAATGGAATTCTGTAGATGCTTGCCTTTCCATTGGGTGGACATTGCCTCAATGAGACTATGCCAAGAAGAAGATTGTCATGGCCAATCACACTTACTGATGACATTCCTTCAAACTCTTTCTGAGTATGAGCATTCAAAAAATAGATTGAAGTGGGATTCTTGATCAACTCTACAAAGTACACAAGTAATTCTAATGTTGGGTGTAAAACTATGGATTATGTCCTTTGTGGCCAGTCTATTCCTTATAGCAAGCCAAAGGATAAAACTGGCCTAGGAATGCATAGATTGAACCAAAGAAGATGGTACCACAGCACCTCCGGTTTTTTGCTCCTGATTTGATTCCAAGCTGAAGAAGTAGAGAATTTGCCATTAACTTGGGGAAGCCATTATCCTTGCTCATTTCTGATAAGTTCTCTAACTCGTGAAGGACCTAGATTTCCCTTGGAATAACCATCAGTGTTTAATTTGTTCCTACTTCCAGATGGAAACATCCAATTAATTATCCTGTTAGGTCTTCCTAGGTTAGTCAGTAGTGGTCCATGGAAGGCATTGGAAGTATCAAGAGCTAGTAGCCAAGCTTCTTTAGCCACTATCTTAGGATTAGTGAGTGTGGAATTGATGCACTCCCAATTTATATCTATCCATATGTTCCAGATAAAAGATCTAAACATTATTGGTCAACGTATTTCTTTCGACTATTTCTTTTTCTTATCTTTATAGTTCCAGTTCAACCAACCCTACAAATCCTTTCTTGAAGGATATTGGGTAGCAATACAATATTCCTGGTGAAGCACGTGCGCGCATCCACCCATGTTTCATGTTGGGGATATACTTTAGGCTTGGATCTGTCCAAGCTTTCAGGGATGCATCAGGAACATATCTGAGCCTTAGAGTCATACCTTGGGATAATACTAAGGAAAACAAAATAAAAAATTGATAGCTGTACTGAAAGTGATCTAAGAAAAAGTGAAGACAAAATCTTGATTGGATAATAGCAACTATAATTTGTTGAATTTCATAATGATATCAGATTACAGTTTTTAAAAGTTTTGTTAACTCCTAAAAATGTCAAGATAATTGAATTTAAACGAGAACTTATTTCTGAATTTTAATAAAAAATTGTTCAATATGTTTTTACCATAATATAAATAAGAAACCGTAATGGTGCTAAATTATTAGTTAAACCAAACAAATATGTAATACTACAAAAATACCGCAACAAAGAGACAAAAATAACAAAATACCTAAAAAATGTCATAAATGATGTTTTTTTGACTTAAAAGGGGCAGGGTTGAAGTCTTCTGTCTTGCTCAGATTATCAAATTTTTTTTTTTAGAATATGGTCTTTTGTAATTTTTTAACATTGTCATTAAAATCAACTTTGATTGGTGCTTGAATCAATGCTGCTTTTGACGGTCTTGATTTGTAGTCCTCCACTATACATGTTGCATCAAAACGTTAATATTTTCGAAAGTTAAATTAGACTTTTTAAAAGTGAAGCTACAATTAATTGAGGTAATTTTTGATCAATCACAAAATATTATCATCAACCATTCAATAAGTTGTAATTTCTCATTTGCAGACAATAATTAGACCTTTAAAACTTATACCTTGTATGATTGATCACAATATTTTGTGATCAATCATGTCCTTTGAATTTATAAGTTACAACACTAAAACATTATTACTTAACCTTAAAATGTTATAATTTTCTATATAGTTTCTCTTTTGATATTGTAGTATCTCCTAAAGGAAATAAAATGAGCTTTCTCTGCGCAAAACAGAAAGAACTTGTCGAGGGTGTTGTATATGTTCCTATGGGTTAGCATTATAAATGACACTATTATCAAAGTGCACAAATAAAAATTTATAGCTATATTGATGAAGCAATTGACTTATTACTTTCATGAAAGTGCTTGGAGCATCAGATAATCAGAACGATATTACCAAGCATTTGCATAGATCTTAATGAGTTTTAAAAGTTGTCTTTCACTCATCTCCTAATTTGATTCGAATCTAATAGTAACCAACTTTATGGTCCAACAATTAATGATTCAATACTCGTCCTGCGCATGGCGTGCTTTAGGAGTATGTGAAAGGGGACCAAGGGCCATTACTAGTCCTGCGCAGGATATTTTTCACTCCTCAAGTAGTGGGGAACAGACTGAGATTGCTCAATAATATCTTCCAATACACCTCTACAATAGGTCGAAAGGTCTGTCGTCTCATTATTGATTATTTAAAAATGTGATTTTATATGATGCTGTTTAAAAGGACTCTAATAAATTTTAAGGAATAGTTTAAGTGATAATATAGACGAACTATTAATATACACACTTCCTGAATTTGAATATTTACAATCCTATGATACCAGGTGATGAGGTATTTGTCACCCTAATTCAGTCATGAATAGTCTGTTTTTGATCAACCTAGAGAAGGATCTTCAATTCAAAGAAAAATAACTGAAGCCTAGCAAAACTGCACAAGTTTGGCATGGACTAAGACATCCTAACTAACCATTTTCTACCAAGGAATTGCGTCGGCTACATAGATATTTTGCCTTTGATTGTAATTAATTACCAATTTTATTAGTTAACAAAAGTCGAAAAAGTCCAGAAAAACAGGATAATTACTGGTTTTATGGTATGTTTTAATTGGATTGTTTTAACATGTGCTTACTCTATTCTCGATATACTAATAGTTTGTCAACTATTTTTTTTTTTTATCCTTGTAGTTCCGGTTCAACGAACTCTACAAACCTTTTCTTGAAGGATATTGGATTTGAACTTAGTCTCAGGCAGACCAACAAACGAACCTATTAAGTTTTAAGCTTATTTTTTCGGGTCGAATAACAGGACTCGTGGACAATTCAGCCCTTGAACACACATATGATAATTTGGGTTGTAGTTTGAAAATAAAGACTTTTTAGTGTCCAACATCCAAATAAATGCATGGTAGCAATACAATATTCCCGGTGAAGCACGTGCGCGCATCAACCCATGTTCATGTTGGGGATATACTTTAGGCTTGGATCTGTCCAAGCTTTCAGGAATGCATCAGGAACATATCTGAGGCACAGAGTCATACCATGGGATAATACTAAGGAAAAATAAAAATAAAAAATTGATAGCTGTACTGAAAGTGATCTAAGAAAAAGTGAAGACAAAATCTTGATTGGATAATAGCAACTATAATTTGTTGACTTTCACAATGATATCATATTACAATTTTTAAGAGTTTTGTTAATCCCTGAAAATGTCAAGATAATTGAATTTAAATGAGAACTTATCTCTGAATTTTAATCAAAAATTGTTCAATATGTTTTTAACAAATATGTAATACTACAAAAATACCACAAACAACAAGATGAAAATAACAAAATACCTAAAAAGTGTCATAAATGGTGTGTTTTTTGACTTAAAAGGGGCAGGGTTGAAGTCTTCTATCTTGCTTAGATTATCAATTTTTTTTTAGAATACAGTCTTTTGTAATTTTCTAACATTGTCATTAAAATCAACTTGATTGGTGCCTAAATCAATGTTGCTTTTGATGGTCTTGATTTGTAGTCCTCCACTATACATGTTCCATCAACAATTAATTGAAGGGGGCGTGTTTTAGGAGTATGTGAAGGGGACCAAGGGCCACTACTAGTCCTGCGCAGGATACTTGTCACTCCTCAAGTAGCTGGGGGAATGATTGATTGCTCAAAAATATCTTCCAATACACCTCCACAATAGGTCGCAAGGTGATTTTTGATGATCTTTCATTATCTTTCAAAAATATCTTTCATTATTGATTATGTAAGAATTCTAATATCTGTTTAAAATAATTCTAATAAACTTTAAAAATATCTTTCAAAATTAACTATTCAAAAGAATTCTAATAAATTTTAAGTACTAGTTTAAATGGTAACAGAGACGGATTGTAAATACACACACATTCTGAATTTGAAACTTGACAATCCTATAATGCTGGACGATAAGGTATTTGTCCTTTATGAATATTATAATTTAGGTATGAATAGTCAACTTTTGACCAAATTGGAGAAGGATATTCAAGTCAAAGAAAAACAACTGCAGCCTAGCAAAACTACACAAGTTTGGCATGGACTAAGACGTCCTAACTAACCATTTTCTACAAAGGAATTGCGTTGGCTGCAAAGATATTTTGTTTTTGATTTGTAATTAATTACCAATTTTATTAGTTAATGAAAAAGTCCACAAAAAAGGGTAGTTATTAGTTTTGTGGTATGTTTTAATCGTATTGTTTTAAAATGGGCTTACTCTATTTCCGACATGCAAATAGTTTGTTAATTTTGTGTTAATATATTGGAATTTTTTGTCAATTTATTTACAAAAAAGATTAATTCGGTTATTATCAAAATAAAACTAAACCCATATTACAGTTATGAGAAACGAGAACTATGAAACCTAATGACCAGTCATTCCACAAAATATAAAATTCATTATTACTTTCATGTTTTGATCACGTGCCTAAGGACCATACTGGAATAGAATACAATGGAAATGTCACTTTGAAAAAGAACATAAATGATATGCTTAAAAACAATTATCAGGAGAAACGCACAACCATAAAAAAAAATAATATATATATATATATATATATATATATATATATATATATATATATATATATATATATATATATATCCCGAGCAATGTACAAACCCTTAAAAAAAAAAACAGAACATGTGAAACACATTACTAGTTAGATAAGACTAAAACCCATTTAATTGAGATTCATTTGTGCTCCCATATTACACCCACCAATTCAGAGCCCTCTTCTTAACTCTCCCATCAACCCAATACACCAGAAACTGTCAAACTTCCACAAATTTCTCTCTCCTAAAACCAGGAAAAACATGGCTTCCTTTTCATCTTCAATGAAATCATACTTAAGCACGAGTTCAAGCTTTGATGAGCACCAATGGGTCATTCAAATACGCCTAGCTCTCGATGAAGAGCTTGAAGAAAATATCTATGAAATCCCAGTCAGCATCTTCAATGTCCCAAGGACCCTAATGGCCAGCAACCCAGATTCTTACACCCCACAAGAAGTTGCAATAGGCCCTTACCATTATTGGAGTCCCGAGCTTTATGAAATGCAGAAATATAAGCTCGCAGCAGCACAGACAATCCAGAAACAGCTTCAAAACCTCAAGTTTCAACATGTTGTTGAAAAGATGATAAAGCATGGCCCTAGGATTCGAGCTTATTACCACAAGTACCTCGATTTCAATGACGAAACATTAGCTTGGATGATGGCTGTTGATGCTTCGTTCTTGCTTGAGTTCCTTCAAATCTTTGCGTTCAAACAAGGTAAGGAACTAACTAGAGTCTCATCAAGAATGTCACATTTGGTTGATGTTGCAGGAAGAAAGTCTGCATATAATGCTATTCTCAGAGATATAGTGATGCTAGAGAATCAAATTCCATTATTTGTACTGAGAAAGATGTTAAAAATTCAATTTTCATCAATGGAATTAGCGGACAACATGCTGGTTGCAATGTTAATGGGTTTGTGTAATGAGCTTTCTCCATTCAAATTCATGGAAGAAGAACACCCAAATCTTCAAATTTCAAAGCGTGCTCATTTGCTTGATGTTTTGTACCATGTATTCATACCGGAATTCGAGGAACCAACGGAAATAACTGAAGCCGAGGAAGATAGAGAAAAGGAAGGTGAAGGTGAAGGGAAAAGTGAAGGAAACTCTTTGGGGGAGTCAAGTCACATTAAACAATGCTTTGGTGAGGTTTGGAAGTTTATTTCCAAATTAGATCCTGGCATAGTACGTTCCATCAAGAGATTATTATTTTCAAGACCTATTAAAGTCGTATTAAAATTGCCATGGACAATCGTTTCTAAGCTTCCTGGATTCAAAGTCTTGAAACTAGTTTCTGAATATTTCTGCTTCCCACATAATAAAGAAAACATTAAGCCAAAAAATGAGAATTCTAATGACAAACCCCCGTTGGTTGAGGAGATTTCAATCCCTTCTGTCACAGAACTCTCTGATGCTGGTGTGAAATTTTCATCCACTGACGGTGGCACTTCAAATTTTGGGTTTGATTGTAAGACGGTTACATTATACCTACCCACCATTAGTTTAGATGTAAACACAGAAGTGATCTTGAGGAACTTGGTTGCTTATGAAACCTGCAATGCATCTGGGCCTTTGGTTTTGACTCGTTACACTGAATTAATGAATGGGATTATTGATACGGCGGAGGATGCCAAGTTGCTGAGAGAAAGAGGGATTATAGTGAACCGATTGAAGAATGATGAAGAGGTGGCCAACCTGTGGAATGGAATGAGTAAATCTGTAAAATTGACAAAAGTGCCATTCTTGGACAAAGTGATCCAAGATGTGAACAAGTATCATGACAGTAGATGGAAGGTTAAAGCTGGGAAACTCATAAAGGCGTATGTTTTTAGGTCATGGCAGTTTCTCTCATTGCTTGCTGCTATTCTCCTACTGTTATTGGTGACTATCCAAACGTTTTGCTCGGTTTATAATTGTTCTCGAATCATTCATGTCCCAAATCTTCAGTGATTTCGTGTGCTATCTCAAGTCTCAACCATGAACGACGGTTTCTTAAATAATCAGCTAAAGCTCTTCAATGAAACAATGCTGCATTACATGTTCATCCGTGTGTTTTTTTCCCCTCGGTGTTTGTGGGGTGGGTTTTTTTTTTTGGGATGGGTGATCCTGCACCAAGTTAAAGATGGTTTTGTGGGTTGGCTTTGTATTAACTATTGTTGATATCGCATAAATATATGTTGGTGAATGTGATGTTGTTCAACTTTGGGTCCTTTTGCTTTTAAAAAATAAGTGTTCATGGAGCTTTTCCATCCCTTAAATTATTGATGTCGAATTTGATTTGATTGGCTTATACCACCAAAGTAATTGGAATGTGATTCTAATTTATGATGATTGCTTTGCATATCTAATATTATATACATGGCAAAGTGATGAAATTTAAGATTGAGAGTATATACAATCTTGAGGATGAGTTCTCCAACTTTATTACTTTAAAATTTTCAAATGGAAGGCATTGAAAGTATCAAGAGCTAGTGGCCAAGCTTCTGTGGCCACTATCTTAGGATTAGTCTTTCTCTCTCTGCCAATCAGTAAAAAGATATTTTTTAAGATATTAAAGTTATGTACTTAAAATATGATCACGCACATATGATAATAGGATGAGATTTCTAAATTTATAATAGAACTATACTAAATCACAACTGTTGTAACATTTCTATTCTTCTATAACATATAACAATAGTCATTTCTAATGAATTATTTGATAATTATTTGCAAAGTAAGAATGTTATTACAGGCAAAAGCATACATTATATCTATTAAAAAAAGGTCTCACAAAATACATTATTCACTTTTATTTTCTAAACAAACATCTCTTAACAAAAAAAAAAAAAGAATTGGAGATTAAAGTATCACTTATGATACGTAGAACTTAGGTTCGGATCTCTTTCCCATGGATATTCTACAGCACAAAAAAAAAGAATAAAATATATAGCAACAATATTTGAAGGGAAAAAAAACCATCAGATATAAGTTCAGCGAACTAAGAGCGTAATTTGATCAGTTCAGCACCATCCTGACTCAAGTGTTCCCTTAAGCGAACTAAGAGCGTCATTTGAGCGGATCAACTTGAATTACGCAAAGATATAATTTAAGAAATTCAGTACTTGAACATCAATTTTCAATATTTATGTGGAGCTTGGACAAAAAAAAAAAAAAACAAGAAATTAACCCTGGTTTGCATCCTCGGTCAAAGGAATCTAAGTCGCCCAAGTATGACTTCAGGTACTGGCACCCAAGTTGTCCATGTTACATCAGAAGGATAAGCAACATCTCCAGCTCGGGAAGATGGAACGAGCTCCTCAGATCACATGCTAACTAAAAAGATAAGAGGTCATCCAAAGCTGAATGACCTCATAGTATGATCTTCCATAAGTACGGATGACCACATTGTATCCAAACTTGAAGACACGTTATAATTTCAACTCATCATGTTTCAGAAGGTCACGTCACACCTAAAGAATATACATCTAACTGCACAATATTTTTTAAACAAAATTTTCACAAAATTGAGGACCATGTGATGATAACACGAGGACCACCCTACTTGTGGGTATAAGTGCAAAGCTATTCACTCATGTAAAGAGATTAAACGAATTGTAACCCCTACAATTGTAACATTATTTTCTTTCCCAAATAATAGAAAACCTCTCAGGAGCACGAAACTCTATTATATTGGATTAGTCAAACTTTTCAGCTGGTGAATCACTCTTGGTTTATTGCAGCGTTGTCGAGAGCCACCAAGCTCAACCTCATATCGTCTTCTTCTCCTCTATTTACTCACACACACCACTGTTTACAAGCCTTGAACTCTTCAACTTGAGCATTTCTCTCATGTTTTGAGTTCCTACATCGTCATAAAGAAATGAAGTTCTTTACTGGCACTCCATATATTATATATAGTTATGGGATTTATACTACTCACTTGTGTTGTGATTCTGTACATATTAATGGCATTTCGATATAGTTCATATATTATGTATCAGCTATAAGTTGTAATTGAAAACACGATACAACATAAAATTCAAAATTTAAAATTAATGTCTCCTTTATTTTTATAAAAACAATAGAAAAAATTTTGTCAAAATATATTACCTCAAAAAAATATCAACACATGTACACCATCTTATATGAACAATGCCTTAAATAAAAATTATATTAAGTCACAAATTAATAAAAAATTAAATAATTCAACTTGTAACAAAAATGAGCGAGAAAAATATATGTGGATAAGATTCAAACACCTACCTCATTTATTATATAGATGTTTAGACGGAACGTTGACGAAGAGGTGGAATAGAGTGTTCTAGAGCTATCTGGGAATGGATTTGCAAAGGGGACTTTTTATTGATTTTTTTGGGAGAATGAAATTGTGTATAAGAATTTTGGACAATAAAATTCTTTGGTTGATATTTGTATTTCAGTGTTACCAATCGAACATAAATTTGTATTTCTCTATCGATTTCATTGTCCTAACTAGTGAAATTGGATATTTAAAATTTTATTTTACCATATTCACCGCCAATAGTTAAATTTGTAATTCCCAGTGAAATTTGTATCTCAATATCAAGGACTTGATTACGGTACCGAAAACAATAAATTTCGGTATCATACCTCTGTTTATTATATTTGTGGATATTTTTATCACTTTTGTGGATGTTTTTACCATTGTTGTGATATTGGAAAAAAGTGATCATAATTATAGTAAAAATATCCACAAATATAATAAATTACCTACAAAAATGAAATATATATTTTTTTTGTACAGAAGAAAAGTGGTTAAAATAGTTACAACAATAGTGGCAAAAAAATCTAGAACAGTGGTAAAAACACCCACATATACGGTAAATCACTTATAAAAGTGATAAATTTTTTTGTTGTCAAAATGACTTACTAAAGTTATAAAAACACTCATTAAAATAGTAAATTTTAGATGTATGGTACTGAATTTTTTTTATCATTACCGTAGTCAAGTCCTAGTATCAATTTTTTTTTATCGTTACCGTACTAAGGGAGTAATATTGCAATTGAAACCTAATTTATTAATCTAATTTGTTGAATTAATTTATTGTAGTTATTGGATTGACTGTGAGCCATATCAAAAATTAAAACTTGATAAATTAGATTAAATTTTTAGATCTCAATAACAATATTAAATTTTTGAACACCCCTGACCATAATATAAAATAAAATAAAAGTATAGAATGATGTATTAACAATGAGAATATATAAAAGCTCATAAAAAAAAGTTCATAAAATTGATAAGGACATTAGGACGTGGTGGCAGCTAGATATAAAGACCTTGTTTGTTTGCTGATTTTGTTTCATGTTTTTGTTTTTAATTTTTGCAAAAACAAACAAAAAACAAAAACGTGTTTGGTAATTTTTTTTTTGGTTTTTTTGTTCCATATTAATTGTCTCAGAAACAAGTTGAAAAAATGAGAACAAAAAAAATGTATTTCAGGAAACATGAAACACACGTTTTGGCAGAAGAAAGATTTTAATGAGGTCTCAACTTCGACCCTTGTTAGCAACAAAATACCACTATTTTTTTCATAATCGTTCTCACATTGTCTCTCTCTCTCTCAACGACTCTATCTTTTGTTCTGTGTTTGTGTGGTGCGATGGCATAGAAGAAGATGATGCTCTCTCTCTCTCTCTCTCTCTTTTTGCGAGACCTAGAAGACGGAGACGCTCTCTATGTATATATGCATATACATGCACAGATCTGTGCATATGTACACAGATTTGTGTGTGTGAGTGTGAGTGACCAGTTTGTGTGTGTGTGTATTGTGTTGAGTCTCTGTGCGTTTGTGTTTTGTGTGTGTGTGTATTGTGTTCTATATGTGTATTATGTTTGTAACTGATTGTCATTTTGTTTTGATTGAATTATCATTTTGTTTTGATTGAATTGTTATTTAGGATTGATTGAATTGCTATTTGAGATTAAATTACCATTTGGAATTGATTGAATTTCTATTTGAGATTGAATTGTCATTTGAGTTTAAATTGTTATCTGAAATTAATTGAATTGTCATTTGGGATTGAATTGTCATTTGGAATTGTTGAATTGTCATTTATGCTCCGTTTGGTAGGAAGGATGAAAAATAGGAAGGATGGAAAGTAAGAGAGATACACTTTTTATCCTTCAAGGATGGAAAATAGGAATAATACATTTTTCTTCCTTTTGTGTTTGGTTGGATATATGAAAAATAAAAATGACTAATTTTTTTTTGTGATGGCTAAGATTAGGGTTGACAATCGAGTCGTATCGTATCAGATTCGTGTTGAGTTATAAAATTATGAGCCTTTTATATTTTTTATTCACGTGTCAGGTCATTTTTAAAGTCGTATCGAGTTATAATCAAGTTCATGTCATAAAATTTGTGTCGTGTTTGAGTTATGTCATTGTGTTGAGTCGAAAATTTTTACTCCTAACTAAAATGAAAAAAATATTTTTTTTTAAGTTAAAATTTTTATTATTTTATTTTTTATAAAATATATATATATATATATATATATATATATATATATATATATATATATTTATCATTATATTTTTATATGAAATTAATATATACATAATATATATAAATAAATAATATACATCTCAACACAAATAATTAAATTTTCATCCACTTTCTTTCCGATTTTGGAGAAAATGATTTTGGTGAGTTGGAAGGAAAGTTAATTCATCCACTTTTTCATCCATCTCACTTTCTTTCCTTACCAAACATGATATTTTATCTATCTTTCCAACTTTTCATGCTTCCATTTATTTATCGTACCAAACGAAGTATTAGTCACAAATGGGCTTATTTTTTTGTCAACAAAAATACTTGAGGTTTTGGACCACTCATACATAAGTAAGGGCCCTAAAGATGGGAACTTTTTTGGGCTGTAAAGCCCAACTCTTTATATTTAGTATATAGTTTGGAATAGTTAACAAACAT